ATGAATATGAATTTATTTTTTTTTTTGTACGTATATACATATATATATATATATATATATATATATATGTTATGCGCGCGCCTGCGTATGTGCGCCGATCATTTAACGTTATGCTTTCGTAAATTCTCAATCGCAAGTTCGTTTCTGTTTGGACTGCTTACATTCAATAATCGTTCGCTTGGGACTGGAACAGATGCACATCGTGTGCATCTACACTGACCCTTGACCCTTCAGCCTTTTCAGCCACAGCACTCTAACCTTGCTGCAATACTAACCGCAGAAGACTTCTGCTCCCAGTTTCTCACTTCCTTATGCAGATTTTTACCATTAATCGTACAGCTCTACGATTTTTTTAAATACGATAATTTGAAGATTGGTGGGTTAGTGAGTCATACACTAGGAAAGTCCGCGGTCCCTCCAACATCCTGGTATGTTATTTGCTTCTCCATGGAACCCTCATCTTATTTTTCTGGAAGATTCTGGCGAATAACTTGCTTTCCTAGGATTGTAAGCATGGTGTTATGCTTAATTCAGTCTCATCCTTCGGTAATTGTCGCAAAGTCCATATCGTTTATGTTCGCAGCGATAAATTTAATCGGTTTTGCCACTTAAGACTTACAGGGCTGTCATTAGACTCAATTTTGGTGAGAAACATTCCAAAATCAGTACATAATGGGACCCAAACAAAGTCTTTTGCGTCTAAAATTATTCAGGGAATGCCTTATCCTAGAGGTGACTTTAATGATCAACTATATCCTATTGAAATATAGATCATTTCTAATCTAATACGTCTAATCGGGAGTTCTGAACTTCAGATTACTTCCAGTCCTCAATCCAAGATTGTGTTATTGCGTACAATTAGATTCTTAACGAATTCATAGCAACTAAAATTGCTTAGAATAATGAAGTGCGTCCCAGCTTTTTCTGCGGGGTCATTTGGATGTTGCTTTGCTTTTACTTTCATTACTCAGGATTTACCACTGCTTATATAGTGGAGATTTTAAACGATTCTAGAGCGTGATACGAAATTCTGAAACTGTACCATCAAAAATATTTCTAAAATAATCTTCAGCCATTCTTTCTTACTGCTCTCATCACTAAAGCTGCTTGTCCAGTTGGCCAGAAACGTGGCAGAAGTGCAACATGGGCAATAGCAACGGTGCACCGAAGACCGATCCCATGATGGACCATCAGCCCTATCCAGACATGAATGTTATATTCCGAGGAATTCCAAAAATGATTCAGGTTTTTCATTTCTTCATTTCTTTGATTTAAAATTTTGCAGTTTTTTTTTTAAAAAAAAAGCTGAAAAAACCCAAAAGATAGGGATTTTTGGCCTCCAAAAACTCGAAAAAATTCTGAAATCTTTCATCATGATTTACAACTCTAAGTAAGATCGGCACGTACTTCATACTGCACTTTTCTAAAATTTTCTAAGAAGCTTAAACCTAAAACGTGCACAAGCGTCAGTAGTAGCTATTTTTAAAAACAAAACGTCATACACAAATATATTTGTTTCTAGCGGTAACTGCAAATCATTAGTTAAGTCGAAAATTTGGCACTGTAATTCACTGTATCAGGTCGCGCTAAACGCCAAAGCAACCAATAAGCTAACAGTTAATATATATAGCGCCAGTCAGAGGAATTAAAAAGGTTATTATCGGTATTACCAGAGAATCTGCAGACGATCGACATATTTTAAGTAAATTACAACAAATGAAAGTTAAAAACAAATATAGGAAACAAGAAAACACCGAGAAGGAAATCAGCTTGCTACGACCGTGTACGCCAGTGCCTTCTGTTACTTGCTTACAAGCTCTTAAGCTTATGCGTGCGTACCATGTTATGGAGTTGTAAATACGGTCGAAGCAGCAGCCCCGTTGATTTTAGGTTGCTGATGATATGCATCGAATGACAAATTATATCATGGACCTACGTAATATGACAATTGGTCTGGTTTGCTTATCTGTTGTTGGCATGATCTTATTTTTGATCATGAAACTTGCCCAGGGACGGAGTAGCGCTGCACGTCGAAAACGTGAGCTCGGACGTCGGATCGAGGTATGATTTCAACGTTTCCACGTACTTCGCTAGAGTTTTATGGGACAGTGCTTGAGTGTTACCTCAGTATTCCCTCCTCTTTAACAGCTTAATGCTTAGCGTTTCAGAATTCTTTTAGGAATTTCTTTCCTCACGCTTCTGCAAAACTACTTCCTCCGCACTTGCTTTCTGTGATAAGTAGAGGCGCACGGAAGTAATTCGAGTGTTAGCTTTTGTCTTCAGGGTTTTTAAAAGTGTACTTAAAAATTTAATGCCTCGCAACTGAGAATTTTTAGTTTTCCTTATTTTCATGCGAAATTCCAAGACTTTCGTATCTCCGTTTTATTAATTTTAGTCTGAAAAAAATCGTAGTTGCGTGCAAAATTCTGGAGCTTTCGCTGGAAAACTTATATATGTAATAGTTTAGAATTTTTGGTTTTTTTGAATTTTGCAGTCAGTTCCGTTGTCTTTCATGCAAGAATCATTTGCTTCAAAAAATGAAGGCAATTGTAGCAAATTCATCTATTATTGTACCAAGATAATTAAAACTGTCCGAACAATCGGTATGGGGATTCCATGCGAGCGATGCTACTGGAATGCTTCTGCACGCTGTATTCAGTTGCTATTATTAATGCTTAAAACACACACTGTAAGAACTGCGACTTGCATCGTTGTTTTTAAGGTGATAAGTCAGCTAGGTGAAAGGCGGAAAGGGAATTCTAAATGAAATCTTTCCACCACTATTTTTGACGAAAGCAGCATAAAGTTCTATAACAGCTGCTCGAATGTCAGCACTAATCTGTGAATGGTCATTCAAAGTGAGAACTGTTTAAGTTGTTACACTTTGCTCTAGTAGCAATATGTTTACTTTCAGAATCTGCAGATCCGGTTTGGCAGAATTTTTTTCAAGTCAAAGTCAAAATTCAAAACCCCTCCGTATTCGTCCTTTGTAAAAAGCGGGAACCATCGCGTAATAGTCCAGGGGTCGAAACCTGCTATGTAAATTTCGAAAAATTCGATAGGGCATTTTAGTCTTCTGATTTTAAGCAACGCTTGGTGAATGATCATATTACAAAAAAAAATTTGCAAAATCGTACTAACCTTTTGCGATACCTGTTCTGGCTTGTTTGGACTCATTACGATATCACCAATAATCTCAGATCAACATTATCCATAATCTTTAAAACTGTTCAGCTCCTTCGCTAGTTGGACAAATCTAAAATTCGCTCATTCATAATTGAATCAAGCACTCCAGCAGCTCACTTTTGAGTAATCCTTGAAAAAGAGAGCTATCAATAGGCAGGTGACAGCTTTAAGCCGGTGGTTGTTGTAAGCTTTGCTATCACTCGGACAATTTCCAATTGCCTCCGCTGCTCAAAGGTGCAAATTATGGAGAAATTATATTATTACGTTATTTGCAGACATTAGAAGATCGGTCTATACCTCGACATACCCACTACAGCGCGTATCACGGCTACATGGATCCGTGGCCGGATTCTAGGAGCGTAAAAAATGGTGGTGCAACAGTGATAGATATTGAGAAAATGCCAATGAATCAGTCTCATGATGATTCGAGCCACAATGAAGCTACTACACCGTCGCTGGAACCGCGAAGCATGCTTAATGGGCATGCGCATAAAGTCTGATATTACCTTCTCTTATTTGATGCGTTTTTTTGTTTCCGGGCGTTTTGTTGTCTCATCATCGTGGAAAAAGAAGGCTTATTAAGATATTAATTTTAAATTTTTCTTTCCCAATTGCCAAGAACATCCACACAGATCGGGCGGTCGGTGTGGGTATTTCGCGCTAGTGTTGTCGCGGAAATGCTCCCATACGCTGGGCGCAGTCTATGTTCCATCATATAGGCAAAAATTATTAAGTACTGCTATTATTTAAAAAAATAAGAAAATATGTGTAGTAAAATTTTTCAAAAATAGACGCTTATTTCCTCTTCTCATCCTGTTTTATAATACCAAGTTTTCTCTTACACTGTTTATCTTCTTTCAACTCTCCATTCTTCCTGATAAGAAAGCTTTCAAAGACGTGCTAGTGTACATGAAGATCACCAGGATTGTTCACACCAATATAGAAAGATTCTGCAGTGATTTCATTAGTCAGCAAAATTTCATACCTCTCTTAACTCGCTTTTCCACACATTTTTTTTGGGAAAAAAGCACCCAGAAAATCATTTTTTTTATCAACCAACCGAATTTTTAGCAGTAGAAATTTTCAAGTGATATAATAATTTTATAATATGCTAAGGATAGCAAGACCACTGAGCTGTTAGTGTGGTATTCCTTGCCAGTAGTTATGGAGAAGTTTCCACACGTCCGAGTGCAACTGTACTGTAGTACTAAAGCAGAAATTTTAAGACGATAGAGACAAATTTTTCGTAAAAATAGATACATTTTGCATCCTTTTCGCCTCTTCTCCATTTTGGTCTCGCCAGGACTTCAACAGCACCGAGTCATAATAAGATTATCCTTCCCTTTTATTTCTCTGATATCTGATATTCCAACAATGCCACTATTTCTCAATTGTTCTTTTCCCAAAAATCCTGAGAAATGTTCATTCTTTTGCAGCCTTTGCCTCAGTTATTGACGTTTCGGTGATTACTCTTTCGGGCGCGCTATTTGTCGCCAGTTGCTTCTTTCAATACTGGGTCCTCAATGGCGCCCATGTACAGCCTCCACAATTCCTTCCGAAGCAGTAATTACCGAAATGTTAAGTTCGTTTTCTTCATGTTCTCTTCAATAGCATACATCAGTTTCGGGTATGGGTGCATTTTAGATGATGAGTTCACCTTTAGTACACTTATTAAAAAGACTTCGAAAAAGATGGCCATTGTCAATCCGGTCAGTAAGCCATTGCAGCAAGGTGTTTTCGCTCTGGCTGCTTTCGATGAGACAGTTTTACAGGGAAGCTAAGGGCAAGGAACAAGGAAGAAGTTGGGTCATGGGAGAGGGGTGAGGGGGGAGTTGTTCTCATTTTCATTTTTCAGTTTTATAAAATTTTATTTTTGTCAACCATTCCTTTTCTGTTTCCTGTTATTATTTCATTCTGAATTTTTACTTTTTTTGATCTGAATTTTTCTATTCACGCGTTTGTTTCATGATTTTTGTTCACAGAACGAGCACACTTGGTGAAATTCGTTTTTTTCGTTTTAATTTGACATTTACTGAAGTTCCATCAATTTTTATTATATTTTCTTCACTACTTTTTATTGTAAGTTCTTATTTTTATTTTTAAAGAACCGGATAAGCTGCTCTTCACGTAGACTCGACATATCACGTTGAATCACAAATGTTTCGTCCACTGCAGAGGAGCAGTCAGCATAAATACCTTTTGTCTAAAGCATAACAGTGCACTAAAAATTGGCGCATTAGCTGCTTAGCCAGAGAAGTTTTTTTATTCCCAGTTTTTCTTCGGTGCTGGACAAGCTGAAAGCGGAAAAGTCTGAGAAATTCATTAATTATGAATCGAAACATACCCGCAGGAACACTTGCAGTCCGCAGTGTAACTCCTATTCTCTGTGCAATCGACAGTTTTCCCATCTGATAATCAGTCTGCTGGCGATCCTGACGTTCGTGCGCGGATTACCAGTTTGATTAGACATCAAACATATATTCCGATTTTTTAATTTTTTCCGTCAAAACGAAGTTTTTGCATTTTCTTCTCTGTAAAAAACGTGAATTTCTTTTTTGCATAGCATACTTTGTGCATTTATTTGATGTACAGCTATAACAGTGATTTTGTTGCAGAAACTGGAGCCGGTAAAATTATTGGTGGAGGATTTGCCGTACGCAGATACGTAAAAAAATTACGTTACACTGGAATTATGGTGCATAATTGTTCTATTTGTGAATATCTGAGCCTGTTTTGAAATCTCGCCACTGACCGGTTCAGAGACTAACCCAAAAACAGCTGAAATTCTTAAACATCACTTAATAATGAACTAAATGCATCCACGTTCAAGGGCCACAATTTCTTGTGGGAAGATTAAATATTCGGAAGACTAGAATTTCAAATAGTTTTTTTTT